AGCAGCCGGCAGGGGGCCAAACGAAAAGGAAAGGGTAAATTGGTGTCAAGACTCAGGGGAAAGGCTTGACTGGACACCACATGTATTTTAATGACTTTGTAACCGAGGAAATGCTACCTGGAATTGGAGAGGCTAGTATAAATGCCCAACACACGAGATTATTAGGAGATTTCAGGCCTCCCAACATGACTAGAATGTTTGTGCCCCACAAAATTAATTTAAAAAAAAGAAAAGAAATAAAATGGTCCTCTTCTATTGCCAGTTCTGCTAGTTTATTTCTCAATACTGCTGTTAGCGGTTATTCTTTTGATTATAGTGGGGAAAAGTTATTTCTGATGTTTGATATGTCTGAGTACTGTATTATGTTTTAGTGTGCTTTGAAATGAAGAATTTGAAGCATCTTGGTAAATGTATCAAATATGATGCAAATCAAAAGCCATTGGTGGCAGGGATTTGTTCAACTTTGATCAAAAGGATCAATAAAATTAGCTTCATGTTCAAAGAATCTGAATTCTCTGTCAACTATTTCATGCATCAGGCTTTATAGGGCTGACTTTAGGGTACCATCAATTCAGTCACCAACATTTCAGACATGGTGACCGAAACGACTGATGATGATAAACAAGAGTCCACTTGTGTGTAATCCACCTCGGTATAAGTACACTTGCTCTGTGATAGTTGTTCAAAATAGCGCAGTCGGCAAGAGCTTTGCTTTTTTGTTGTCTGCGTCTTTTGTTTTGTCATATGGCGTTTGTTGTCCTTCGCGTGGACCCGATGTGAACTGTTTTTCAGCGTTTTGGCCACAATATTCATCGAAGGAGAAGAATCCGTGCTTGATGGATGCAGCACCGGTGTACCAGCACTGGCTTGGATTTTGATGGGGAGGAATGTCGGCGCTATTTGACTGTTGCTGCTGGACAGCACCGGGGCGCTTGTTTTTATTCACAACCCCGTTTTGCTCAGTGGAGATGTCGGAGCTGTTGGACACAATGCGTTGGTGAGGTTGGATGGATGGCTGCTGGAGCAGAGGTTGAGGAGAGAGGAACGTCGGCGCGTATGCGTGTCTGGAACTGAGAGTCGTCGCTCGGAATTGAAGCGGATTTACATGGGACAAGAAAAGTGAACTAAGCCAATCTTTTTATTTTTTCGTCAATGGACGCTATGTCAATGGACAGCTGGGCACACCTTGGATCCCGCCCCAGAGGAACTGGAAGAAGAGGCTGGGGAGAGCCTGCAGGCTTCCCTGTCCAAGCTGTTGGCCCTGTGACCTGATTCTCGATAAGCGGATGGATGGCTGAAATCCTAAGTTAAGTTTACAGTGTCAAACTAAATAGTGTGCCGCACAACAATTTAAAAAGTATAGTGTCGTTAGGAATTGGTTTTTAAGGCTCTTGCATTTATCTATGCACATATGTATAGCCTAGTTTTAAATAATGTAACTATCCCATATTGAAACATGTACACCCAGATGCAATACAAACGTTTGTAGTTTAAAAAAAAAAGCCCTGGGAGGGAAAAAACAATTAAGCACAATGTTATGCAGTGTAAACTTTATTTACATGACAAAAATAAAAAAAAAAAAAGAAAATCACAGATGTAATGCCATGCTCTTTCAACCCTCGGCAGCGAGAATTTCCTTCAGCGGGATGAAGAGCTGAACACGAGTCTGAAGCGCTTTTTCGTTACACTCACATTGGCTCTGAAGACATGTTCCAAAGAAATGTCTGTGTTAAACAAGGACATTACATTAGTACATTACATACAAATAGTATTTACAGGGACTCACAGTGTCCATGCTAGGGATGAAACTGTTTACGGTGGATGGCTAAACGGTGATAAAATTGCAACTCTAAATTATCCTCATTGTTATCGTTAATGTGCTGAGCTGAGCTGTGCGCGGCCCTTGCTGTGGGCAGAAAGAACAAGGTAGTGACAAAGAGCGGGCTATACATTTTACATAAAAAGGTGGGTCAAAAGAGAAAACACAATCATTGTCTGTCCATTCATTCCTGTGGTGGTGTTTGGGGAACGGTGAGTTATCGCTGAAGTGCAAGTCAGCCCTCGGGTAGCAGACAACGCTTTGTCTTGGAGTCTCAAGTACAAACAGTTATCAGATGGGTAAATTGCGCGAGGTGACCAAAAGTCCTTTAAAAGAGCCAATCAAGTAGAGCCAATTTGAATTCATGAGTTATAGGTTTGTAACTATTGTCTGCTTGAAATTCAGATTCAATTGCACTTATATTAAAATTGGCATGACTAATCTGTATCGAGTAGCCGTAGTGTGCATAACTTTGGTGTTCATGTTCACTAAAACATTTATCAAATATTTCTATTTGATTAAGGGAAATAATGTAGCCTCCAATTAGATTGGGGAGTCCCACCACCATTAAATTTGTCATCATAGCCATTGTTAAGTATTTTGGGGGGTGTGCGAAAATTCCAGAAAATTCCCTTTGGTTACAGCAGTTTACAAGTTATAATGCTAGAAAGTACACAGGGTTTACCAATTTAATATTTTTTTGTATTCAAAATAAAACTAATATTTTTATAAGGTTTCTGGAGCGTGCATCTGAGATTTTTCTCTTTCGCCCAAAATAAGCTGGAAAAGGCTACAGCTCACCCTAGCGACCCTAGTGAGGACAAGTGGCAGAGAAAATGGATGGATGGATATCATAATACCGACAATGGCGATGTGAAATTTTCACATGGTTTCATCTCTAGTCCACGCACAGCACAATCGACTTCAACACATCCCGATATGGCTCTGCGCAATTAAGAATGGCGACAATACAAGACTAGGGTTTACTGTGGATGGCAATCCACAGTAAAAAGCAGTGGCTATTCAGCCTTAAAAGACCAGAAATCTGTTGTGTGGTAAAGTCTGGCAACTTTTTAATCAAAGGATAAAAACAAGAACTGCTCCCCTCAGTTGAGTCTGCCGTAAATTCCGCAATGCATTAGTTTGCATACAATCTCAATCAACGCAGCTCTAGCACAGATGAGCATAAAAAAAAAAAAAAAAAAAAAAAAACCCTTTGGGTCAATTTTTTATTGGTTGTTTTTTTTTT